TGGAACGAAAATGCCGAGATGTACTGAGTTTTCCTACAACAGTACACAAATTAACAGGTCCTGGCAAGACATGTTGTGAGTATCAGTGTAGAAGTTTTGTTTTATGACTAATATAATATAATTTATACAACAGTGAGTTCCGGCCACGCGAGCTGGTTGAGAGTCGTTCTAACTGTGCTGTTATTTCACCATAAAATCACAGGTTTCTCACAAGCAATTTGAACGTTTTTACTTCTTACTTTGCCACAAACAGAAAACGGACACTTTTAAGATCACATTTGACCGACAGCCGATTTGGTCAGACTCTGAAGATGAGACGACACTAAATTCCCAAACTGTCATCACCACTGAGCAGCTTTTCAGTCGGCAGCTGTGACAGAAGAACAGCTGAACAACCTGGAATCAGCCAGAAATGAACCCAACACCATTCGCCAAACTAAATGGGCTGTAAGATGCTTTACAGACTGGCTGGAACAAAACAACATTAATACTGATCTGGCAAAAACTGACAAACTGAGCTGAACTTGATATTGCGGCAGTTTTATGGCTCAGTCTGATTTGGTCAGACTCTGAAGATCAGACTACACGTTTGGCGAATGGTATTGGGTTCATTTCTGGCTGATTCCAGGTTGTTCAGCGGTTCTTCTGTCTCAGCTGCCGACTGAAAAGCTGCTCAGTGGTGATGACAGTTTGGGAATTTAGTGTGTGGAGCTGGAGAACGAACTGCCGGCTGTGCAGCGAGTGGGCGGAGCTCGTTACTCTGACGTAGCAACAAGCTACAAGCTTATTCTTATAGTTCTCTCTCTCCATTTTAATCCCTCATTCTTTCGTTCTCTCTGTCTCTCATTCTCTTACTCATTCTCTCTCTCCCTCTCTTTCTCTTTCTCTTTCTCTCTCATTCTCTTATTTTCTCTTACTCCTTCTTTCATTCTTATTCTCTTATTTCTCATCCTCTCATTTCTCTCTTTCTTATTCATATAGTCCTCTCTCCATTTTAATCCCTCGTTCTTTCTTTTTCTTACACCCTCTCTCTTTCTCTCTCTCTCTCATTCTCTCTCTCTCTCTCTCATTCTCTTATTTTCTCTTACTCTTTCTTTCATTCTTATTCTCTTCTATTTCTCATCTTCTCATTTCTCTTTCTGATTCTTATAGTTCTCTCTCTCTAATCTCTCATTCTTTCATTCTCTTACTCTCTCTCTCTCTCTCTGTTTGGTCACACATGTCAGTGTATCACGGTCATGCTGATAAGCTGTTGAGCTATCGCTATGACAACAGTAGCAGGCTCTCTCTTTGGCCGTGCCGGTGAGTTCCTGCGTTCCGCCGCTTACATTCTCTCCATTCCTCAGTTTTCACTCTTTATTTCCTGACTCTCTCCCTCTCTCCCTCTCTCTCTCTCCGTCTGTCAGTGTGGGGTTGTGTACGGATGACCTTGCGCTTTTTATAATCTCACCACACATCTTCCACCTTTCCTGACTCTCTTTATCTCTCTCTCTTTCTTTCTTTCTCTCTCTCTCTCTCGAACACAACCGTTAACTCTGTCACTTCAGCTCAGCTCAGTAAGCTTTATTGGTGCGACTGTACTGAGTTACAGTGTTGATTTTATGGCCAACCTCCTTTTCTTTACAGCCAAATCAGCCGATGGCATTTATTTATTTATTTATTTGTTTATTTATATTTAGTGCCTTGTTTTTGCACAAAGTTTGACTTGTCTTTGACTTGTTTTTAATCTTTAGCGGGCGCTAAAACAATCATTCTGCATGTTGCACATATGCAAATTCATCACATTATAAACAATAATTTCGACCATGTGTTCAGTGTCTGTCATAATGGGCACAAACCAGTGAAGAAGTCATTCCACTGCAGCATGGAAAAACCATTTACTGCCGAAGTTGCCAGATCGGGTCATTAAGTTGGTGTATTTGCACCCAATCTAATTAACTCAAAAGTCAATTTGAACACTTTATAAAATGAGTATTACCAATAAGTAGATCACCAAAACAGCAACCTTTAATTTAACGTCTTTCATGTTATGAACAAATACAAAGTCCAACTACAGCAGCATTTTAAAGTAAATGGCAGCTAAAGTTACCAAATCAGCTCATTTGTTCCCCGTCTGATTGTCTCACGAGTCAAATTCAACACGTTATCAAATGAAAATGTCCATTTCCAGCGAGTAGATAAAAAGCATTTTGGTGTAAAGTCTGTCATACTATGAACATGTCATCGCTGTCCAATGAAAAACGTATCTCCATTTTTTGCAATTTGTACTTTTCTGCATCATTTGAGCTCAGCAGTTGTGCTTTACATTGTCTGAAAAGTTCATGATGATTGGACCAATAGAAATGCTCTGAAATAGCTTAGAATAAAAACTGTTTCCATTAGCTTACACTGAAAGTAAAGAACGTTTTTGCCCCTCCTGTAAACTGTTACTATTTTGGAGATACTTGTTTTTTGTTGTACAGCGATGATATGAAAGATAAGTTCCCTTTACTGCAGCATTTTAATATAACAGGCTGCATTTTAAAGCCTTAAAATTATGTACAAATCTTTACTGACGTGTACCCGAGGAGGGTCATGGCCAAAATAGCAATGTCGGGCAAACTTGCAAAGCAAGCTTGGACCCCTCAAATCGCTGCTTGCGGCTATATTTCTTGACAGTATTTGTACTCGGACTTGTCTTGGTTTAAATAGTATTTGTACTCGGACTTTTCTTGGTCCTGACAGTATTCGTACTCGGTCCTGGTCTAGGTTGTGTCTGTACTCGGGCTTGTCTTGATCTCTAGTATTTGGTCTCGATAGTATTTACATTCAGTCTCAGACAGGAGGAGTTTAGACCAACAGTTTCAAACTGAAGCTCATCCCTTCAGCCAGCGCTGCCTGTTCTGTCTGCTAAACTAAAACAGAGTGAGCTGGACAGCAGACAGTGATGCACAGACAGGCGGTGATGATGTCGGTCACTTTTGGCTGCGGTTTTAATGGTAGTATCTCTCCATGCCGAGTTTCTGCTGTGGATGCAGTGTTTCTCTCTCACGCTCGCGCCTGCTGGTCTTTTTTAAGATGACGTTAAGAGAAATGTTTTCATAGTTTTGTTTTTTTGGTCGTGTGCGATGCTGTACTGCCGTCTGCGCTGTCTGTATTCCCTCCTTTAATCATGGAATGTAAATGAAACATGCAGATGTCATCGAGCAGCTAATTGGTTTGTTTTCCAATTTTTTCTTATTGACATTATCGATAATGTCGATTAGTTGTTGCAGCCCTAAAATCAGTCCCCCCCCTCAAGAGGTACAGCCTCAGTCTGCTGGTTGTAGTTGGTCAGCTAATGAGGCTGTTAGAGTGGGTAGAGATTGTCCTGTTCAGTGCGCTGGTGAGAGTCTGGGGTCCTTTAACAGAATCAGTGTTTTACAGAGCGAATTACCTTTTGATGTGTTTGTGAAAACATCAGAGTGGCGTTTTGTGTAAAGGAGGTAAAGGGGGGGGGGCTGACAGAGTAAGGATTTCAGTAAATTAATGTCTCTTAATCTAAAACTGAATCAACTACTGGTTTATGGAAATGCGCGTGTACATACCGTTTATTGATCCTTGTTAGGCCCAGTCACGTTTCTTATTTTTACCCCTACCCCTTGTTTTCGAGTGTTGCCCCTTGGAACTGAGTTCCAGGGTAGTGGTTGAGATCTTCCCTCTGAAATGGGACCCTCAAATAAAAAGAGCATCACTTCATTAACAGCTACCAGCGCTGCTCTGTAGGTGACCCTGCCAGTCTGCAGTGACAGCAGAGGAGGGTAAAGTTCAGCTCCTCACTGCTGGGCTTTAGTTACATTTAGGGCATCATATGATCTTCAAAGAGGGGGGCAATTATTTATTATCACCCACCCCTAATTCTTCAGTGATATGAAGCTGAAGTCAGATATTCACCAGATTCTTGTTCGAATTTTCCCGTTCCACCTTAAATGGTGCCAGAATGTAACTGCTGCACCATTTAAGGTGGAGTGGGAAATTTAGCTAGCTACAGAGACGTCAGCACTACTAGTGATTGTTTTACACGTGTTATGAAGAAAAGGACCATAATACACTGAAACAACATTAAACTAAGATAATATGATGGTTATTGTAATTTTTCAACAGAGAAAATTCTCTTCTTGTTCTCCATCTTTCCTTTTTTTCTCATATCACTCTAATTAGAGTCTCTGAAAATCCTCCGTTTGGAGGGTCATGTAGTCCCAACACTTCGCCCTCCCCCTCTATCTCAACAAGAATCAGGACACCCTACCTCTAGACGAGAACACGCAAAACAGAGGGGTTAGAGCTAAGTGGTAGGGGCGAGGGGTGAAATGGGATTGGGAATTTATACCCCCCACAGCTTAAGATGTAACCTCAAGCATCTGTTGAAGGTTCATTCCACATAATGTTAGGCCCAGTCCCTTTTCACCCCTCACCCCTACCACTCAGCCCTAGCCTAAAGCACCAGAATTTTACTGCTGCTCCATTTAAGGTGGAACGGGAAAATTCGAACAAGAATCTGGTGAATATCTGACTTCAGCTTCATATCACTGAAGAATTAGGGGTGGGTGATAATAAATAATTGCCCCCCTCTTTGAAGTCATATGATGCCCTAAATGTAACTAAAGCCCAGCAGTGAGGAGCTGAACTTTACCCTCCTCTGCTGTCACTGCAGACTGGCAGGGTCGCCTACAGAGCAGCGCTGGTAGCTGTTAATGAAGTGATGCTCTTTTTATTTGAGGGTCTCATTTCAGAGGGAAGATTTCAACCACATTGTAACTCAGTTCTGAGGGGCAACGTAACACTTGAAAACAAGGGGTAGGGGTAAGAATAAGAAATGGGACTGGGCCTTAATTAACTAATTAACTACCTTAACTATGAAAAATCTCTAACCAGTGGTGCTGAGTTAATATCTCTGCTGTAGCCCCACTCAGCTAGTACTGCAGTAGGTGCTTCTGGTGGGATTTTGGTCTTGATTTCTCTCTCTCTCTCTCTCTCTGCAGGTATCAGGCCTCAGATCATGAACGGACCCTCGTTGCACCCTCGCCCCCTGGTGGCGCTGTTGGACGGCCGTGACTGTACAGTGGAGATGCCCATCCTCAAAGACCTGGCAACCGTGGCGTTCTGCGACGCTCAGTCCACACAAGAGATACACGAAAAGGTACACAAACCCGAAGCTAAACTTTAATAGTAAAACAATAATGAAATGAACCACTTCATCTATACGTTTGAGGTACTTTTTGCATAAAGAGATTACACCATTCTGTTTTTCAGTCCTGTGTTAGCAGATGAGGGCTTGAACAGTTGTTTCTTCAGTACACTAGGGGGCAGTATCCACCTTTTACTCGCTAAATGCTTAAAAGGAAGAAGTCCGTCTGTTTGCTCATGACACAAGCCGACAGGACAGTTTTTGGTTATTAGGCTGAGTTTGTTGATCTTGTTGGTTATAATGTTGAATAAAAAGACCTATTTAAAGTGCAGCGTCTACAAACACCGATCATGCATTATATCAAACATGCAACTGCGCATTAGTCAATGCAGGTAATTAATACATCTTAAAGAGAAATTCCACAAAATGTTTGAAATGTATGCATACATTAGTGGTTGAAATATAAGTAAAGTCATTTGTGGTTTGATGTAAAATGGTTCATTGTAGGGAAACTTGCCGACTCAGGTTTCTTTACAGTGGTGGTGATAGGAACCAGGGGTCGCCATGACTACAACACTAATATAGACATTTTATTTACTATCCAGAACCACCAGTGAACCTACACGAGTCTTCTGAGTTTATATGGAATGTTGATGATGGAAAATAGTGGAAAATCTGAAATCAGTTTTCTTTGGGGACTATTTTGCCTCACAGCGCCCTGCATGTATCCCTCCACCATGAATGGAGTTTAAGTTCTCATAACTATCATAAAACAGTGTCTCAGTAATCAGGCAGTGAATTCATAACCATTTCATGTAGGAACTTTCTGTGAGGGAGCTTTTAGAGGTGGACGTCTGGTTCCTATCACCACCACTGTGAACAGTTCTGACTCGGTAAGTTTATCTAGAACAGAGCGTTTCACACCAAACCACTCTGAATGACTCTGTTTACATCTTAACCACTTAATTATGCAGAAAGTTTGAGAATTTGGTAAAATTCGCTGTTAATAATCATTGAAATTGAATATAGCACTATATTGGACACAGGTCCAAAAGTATTCGGACAGAATACTGTAGAATCTCCATATGAGACGCTCTGGAGCAGCTGCACATGAGCCTAAGGTCTCCAGGCCCAGTGCCAAAGCCCCCCAGCACTGGGCTGTGGAGCAGTGGAACTGTGTTCTCTGGAGCTCCATCCAGTACCTTTGGGATGAGCTGGAGTGACCCAGAACTGACCATCCAACATCAGTACCTGACCTCAATCATATCCTCACAGCAATGTTCCAACATCTAGAGTAAAGCCTTCCCTGTTACTGCAGCACAGAGGGACAAACTCACTGTTAATACTCTTAAATTCAAAAACTTAGTGTAGCTTAACCTTTAGCTTTCTTTCTCCTGCTCTCTCTCTCTCTCTCCTCTCTCTCTCTCGTTCTTTCTCATTTCTTACATAAAGTGATGTTAATATGAAGAGCGTCTGGTCCTGTATTTCTTCTCTAATGGAGGGCTGCTTGGCCAGGCGCCCGGCAGTGTAATTATCTAGCGTTAGCGTGTAGCTTCAGCAGTGCTTCTTTATTGCTCATTATGCAGACAGACGCAGGGGTCATTGAGACTGAATGGAGGCCGTGGAGATGCTAACCGCTAACTGCACCGCTGCTGTCACTTTCTCTCCCTGCGATCAGGACCCTGCCCTCGTCTCTGTGTTATTAAACCGTCCAGTATGAAAACAGGCCGCTTTATAAAGAGGCTGTTGGTGGGAGACGTGGTGTGAGGGTGAGATGGAGAGAGATAGGAATGATTAGAGGAGCGGAAGGGGGGCGGGTGGGGGGTCTGATGGTCATATTCACCTTTATATTGTTCTGTAAATGCTAATAGCTGTCGTTTTTGGAGTGTCTTTATCTCAGGCCAGTTTTGTGGGATTTAAATTGTGATTATTTTCTGGGTTTTTTTTTAACCAGCATATCGATTTGTTCTGGCTTTAGGCTCAAATGCTGAACGTAGTGTGGCAGACGGCCGGTCAGTTGTGGTCGTGCGGGTGTTTGGTTGCTTCTGATTGGTGTAACTCATCTACAGGCAGTTCACAAATGCAGTGCTGTTAGGTTATTAGGTTATTTCCCCACTTAAAACTTGTACGCTAGAATTAAAATTGCAGCTCTTGCGATAAGAAAATTGCATTTTGTTTCAAATTGTGGCTTCAGTATAAACCGATTAACCCGTGTCGTGTTCAGGTCTGTGGGACCCGTTTTCAGTGTTTACCAAAATAAAAAATGATGTGATTTATTATTATTTTAACCTCAGATTCTTGGTCTTGCTCATTTTCTTAATAAAATAACCCATTTTCAGTGTCTTCACTCTGTTCACCCCCCACACATTTATATTACACATGTGGTGTTGGGTGAACCCACAGGGAGTAAAAGTGTGGAGGTGCTGGGTCCTTCACTCTGTTCTCCTCCTACATGGCCTGCTGTTAGTGTGTGTGTGTGTGTGTGTGTTTGTGTGTGTGTGGACAACATGGACAGGCTGCTGACTGGCTACAGCTGCTAAAGGAGAACCCTACGCTGGACACTCGTGATATTTTAAACATCTGGCATTTTTATATAAACTGTTATGGCTGTGTTGATTTAAATGAACAATAGTGTGGTGGGTCCAGCAGACCACTGAGTAACAAACACATCAACACCACACAAGGGTTAATCTTTCAACCCTGTTACCATCATAGGCAGATATGAAAACTCCAATATTTTTATATATTTATTGGATCATTCTTTATTCATTAATTCATTAATTCATTTATTAATTCATTTATTTATTGATTTACGTCTCCTGAATATCATCGTAATGATGGTACCGTGTTGTGGTAAGGATGAATTTCTGTTTAGAAATCTGGATCCTGCTGTATTTTTAATCTCATCGTTAAAAAAACAAAACAAACAACGTTAATCACAAAAGAGTAAATTCAGCGTTTTGTGTGTGCAGCAGTATTAATATTCTGCATTGATAACAATAACTGAAAAGCAAAGCCTGCACAATTTCTCACTCACCCTAATTGTAGTCAGTCAGATGAGACATGCGCTGCTGTCGGGAACAAAACCTCGGATCTCCAAAAATGAAACTTTTACAGGACGAGGAAAAACATTCTTAACTTTCAATGGAAGTAAATGGAGAAATGTTTTTTTTCAAGTAATTTTGGACCATTTCTGTTGGTCCATTCGTCATGAAATTTTCACAAAACTACACTTTTCGGATAATGTCCAAAAACGAAAAATCACAAAAAAAAGGAGCTATGAAGTTTTAGACCTGAAACTTCAAAGCTAACATTGCTAACAAAACTGGCAGTAAATAAAAACACAAAATAAATGTAAACTATGTGGGCTTTAGGATGCGCGGATAGCTGGCCACGGACAGCTGTAGTATCACCAGGGATCGAACTCATGATCTCCTGACGATAGGGCCAACGTTCAGGAGTCGCAACCCAAATGTTAAGAAGAGCCATTTTGTCCTTTTAACAAAAATCAAACCACCTTGGGAGCCACAACATTTATGTCCATTTTACCATCTTGGCTGTAAATCTGTCTCATAATGTGCTGATGTACTAGTATAGGATAAAAAATATAAACAAAAACTCAGACTTACTTTGCTCTGCTTTAAGCTTTAGATCAGCTATAGCTGCTTTTCTCGCCTCTCCAGCAGGAAACTTTTTCACAAAAGTAGATCAGTTTCTTGTAAAACGTCTCTAAACATTCAATTTTTTACGAGAAGTCGCTTCTCATTCGCCAGCTTCTTGTTTGAATTTTCCCATTCCACCTTAAACGGTGCCTGAGGCGCCAGAATGTAACCGCTGCACCATTTAAAGTGGAAAATTCCAGTGAGAAGTTGGAGAATGAGAAGCAGCTTCAGCCTCGCGACCCTTTAGTGTTTGAGTTTCTCACTGCAGATTAAACGTATCAGGAAACCAGCTGGAGTGATTATAATGTAAATAAGTCCATTCATCTCCGAATTATTAATGTCCATCTTAAATCTTTCTCTTTGTTGGTCTCTCTTACCTACTAGCTAGGCAAGATTGTCTGTGTTGCTATGGTGACCAGCAGTTTGGACAGTTGAAAGTGGCCCTTTTTTGTTTCCAGCGGTGAGATTTCGGTGCTTCCCTGCTCTTAAACTTCTATGTAAGTTTAAATGAAGTATGACTTCACTTATGGTTTCCTGTTGTCTGGTTCAGTTCTCTAAGACTGCTTCACAGCAGTGATCTGATTATCTGTCTCAGCGTCGCAAAAGAAAATTCAGTTTGACGACAGAAAAACTGATCAACTCTCCAAACACTCAGAACCTTCTACACACACTTGAGTGTGAGGATGTGAACTAGAGAGACACACAGAGAGAAATATATAGAGCGATGACTCACTCAGTTCCATTAGTCTATAAAAGGCCATGTTAAAGCACTGCTGTGACACTGCTGAAGGAGGAATGATGTCAGCTGTATTAACCCACTGCTGATTACCCATCATACACTCCAGCACACACTTTATTCTTCTAAATGTCTGACTTGTGTGACTCGGAGAGAAACACGTCTGAAAAAAAATTGTAATTTGTTTAAACTGAAGGCATTAATTGAGATGATATTAAGCTAAATATATACAGAATCATCATTTATAGAATGCTTTCTAGTGGGAGGTGTCTGTCCCAAATCCCTAACCCCTAAATTTACACCTTTCAAAAATAATGTGAATTTTTAAAATTCTTTTAAAGTTGAAAGATTTATCATGAGTTTAATTTTTAAACTAAAAAACTATATTCAAAAATTAATGTCTCGTGTTTTCATGTCACTACTAAAACACAAAGTAGGCGGGGCCTTATTTTAGCCACGCCCCTGCATTTAAGAGCAGGAAGTGAGCCTGCATCCCTGTCCCTCTTGGCTACATGGTGAGCAGTTAGATCCCATTGTTTTGAAGTAAATGTGTCCCAAAGTCTGAAAATCAGTGTGGAACATTATGAACTGTCACTACTGAAACACAGATTTTCTACAGTTAACTCAATTTTGCACAGTTTTAATGAAAAATACTCTGATTTTCTGTGTGAACAGCTGTTGAAAGCTGTGTTTGCTGGTCATGTAGAGGCTGAGTTTCTGAGCTCAAAATGAGCTAAAATTGTCTCTGAAACAGTCACTACTGAAACAGTCACTACTGAAACATTTGGTAAAGTTGTGGTGGAGTTGTGATTGTTTTGGTAATAAATGGAAAAATTGAATGTTCAATCATTTATTTTAGTAAACATAATTAAGGAATAGAGTCACTCAAACCAGAAGGGTTTTAGTCTGAAGTCCAAATCAGTTAAAAGTCAGAAATGTGTTTTCAGCTCTGACTTTGAGCCAGTTTAGTAGAATCAGCCACCTCAGTCAGACCATCCACCAGGGGGCCTCCCAAACACTCTGCCACAGTTAGCACCCTTCCTGTGCAGTTACCATGGTGGAGATACCAGGTTTTGCTCTGAAAGTGACAATGCTAAGTTTGGATATCTGTGTATTTTAATAAGCCCGTCTGTCTGTAGTGCGTCTTTGGGGCAGTGAGACACATTTCTCTAATGAAGTATTGTGTTTTGTTGTTTTGGCTCTAAATGTGTCAGGATTGTGTGTTGCAGGTGCTGAATGAGGCCGTTGGCGCAATGATGTACCACACCATCACTCTGACGCGCGAAGACCTGGAGAAGTTTAAAGCTCTGCGCATCATCATCCGCATCGGCAGCGGCTACGACAACATCGACATCAAAGCTGCAGGGGAGCTCGGTATGACTTTTAAAAGGAATTCATTGTTATTTATTAAGGGTGTAACAGTTTGATGTCACTTTATTTGAAGGCTACTTACAAAGGGACTTCATAACACATGCATAAGCATTGAATGACACTTAAATAGCACTGAATAACACAGCATTTATAACAGTTAATGCCAGTATTCACAAGATTACATAACCTGTTTTATGAAGTAAATGATACTGTATTGCCATAAAGGGCCACAATCTAATATGACAAACGTTTGTTCCGTTTATAACAATGTTATGCAGCATCATTCCCGAGTAATGGAACTTACATATCAGCACAAAAGTCCAAAAGTACAATTTCTATTAAGGAATTTCTATTACCCTGTTCTTCAGTGGTCAGGACCCCCATGGACCCTCAGAGAGCAGGTACTATTTGGGTGGTGGATCATTCTCAGCACTGCAGTAACACTGACACTGGTGGTGTGTTAGTGTGTGTTGTGCTGGTCTGAGTGGATCAGACACAGCAGTGCTGCTGGAGTGTTTCCATAATACCTGCTCTGTGGCGGTCCTGTGGGGGTCCTGATCATTGATGAACAGTCTGATATTGTAGAACTAAAAAGTGCAAATATACATTAAAAGGAGCTGATAAAATGGACAATGAGTGTACAAACAAGGTAGGTGTACCTAATAAAGTGCTCCATATGTCGCAGCTGTCAAAACAAAATCTCGTATCTCCATTTTTCAGTTTTTGCCATAATTTGAAAATGCCTGTTATCTTTCACATTGTATGTAAATTTCATGATGAACGGCCCAAAATGATGTGGAAAAAAAGTCTGGTTCCATTGACTTACAGAGTCGAAGGCAGCTCATTAGAACAGAGACTGCGTGATTACATATGAGGTCAAGAAGATCGTTTTTTTAAATAGATTTTTAATTGTATTTAGTGTTTCTGTTCTGAGTGGTGAAGTGGCAGCATAACGTTTTAAAAGGAAATACAACAACAAAAAGAGAGAACAATGAGTTTTACTCCCTGTTTCAGGTTCAAAACTGATGTCTCAGCTGCAGCGCTGCTCAAAAGTGGAAACACCACTGCAGTACGAATCACTTCAGCTTAACTGACCCACAGAATTTAGTTCAGAGTATAAAGTCTTAGTCAATTTCCTGAATAGCCTTCATTAGTTTTTATTTTAATTGAATTGGATTTTTAATTTTATTTTGTTTATTCTGTATTATGAAAAAACAGGCTTTTGTATTCTGTGGCTTTTGTTTGTGTGTTTGTTTGTTTGTTTTTTAATGAACAACAACCAGAGTAAGTCTGGAGTGAGAGGTTTGGTGTAACTGGACCTTCACACATTTTAAGACCCATTACAGAGTATTATAGACCCCTTTTTAAATCAAACAGTGGACACAGTATCGCCCCAGTGCTTCATACACTGTACTGCAGTGTGTCAGAATGACTGCGCCTGATTATAAAGAAAATGTCGATACTTTTTCATAGGAACAATACGAGATACAAGGTTTTGCCCCAACAGCGATGATATATTATGTTGATTGTTATGATATATAGTATGTTGATATTAAGGAGACCTGTGTAGCAGCACTCAAGTAGAAATACAGTGATATATGGAGCTCTTAAACTGGCCTCTGTCTTACAAACTACATTACTTGGCTTCATAACAGTGTTATAAATGAAACCAATGTCTGTCAGTTTAGTTTAAGGGCCCTTATATCTGTACAATGTCATTTACTACTGTTTCATACCAGTGTGTTACTGACATGCACTGGTCATACATACTCAACTATTGCAACTATAATCAACTAATGCTTATGCACAGAGTCTCCATGAAGGCAGCCTTCAAATAAAGTCTTACCAGTATAGTGAAATGTACTGGTGTGTCCTGTCAAAGTGAAGTAGGCGGGGCAGAAATCGCATCAAACCTTAATCTGTGTATCGCTGCCTGCCTAAAAAATCGGCTGAAGTGCGTGTTGAAATACACTGAGTTGTGAAATCAAGCTACAAAACCGTTTAAGTGCTTCTAAGATTTATATCAGTTCAAATAATGTAGCAAATGTCATAAATGGATCATTTCACACCAAATCAAGGATGTGTCCGGTCATATTGTGGATTTCCATGAATAAAGTCAAGCAGAGATCAAAAATAAACCTCTCTTTACTGAGAACACCAGTGTCTGTGTTTGGTAGCTGCTGATTTTAAGGCTCTAAAAGCCCTTTAGGCTGCCTAAGAGTGCCTTTTTATTGCTGGCTGTAAAGTCCTGTATATTTCAGAAATTGGTCACTGTCTGGAATTTTAAACTGCGTAATATTGCAGTATAAGCCAACCGCGCCTATTCTTAGAGTCATCACGCCGACCCAGACTGTATGAGTGTGTTAGCAAAGCCTTGCGCAGCTTCCAGACATGCTGGCGAATCAGCCAGAGTTCCACACTGTGAACTCTTCACCCGTCCTCAGTGTAAAGCTGGGCGATGTGGCTGAAATCTAACTTCACAATACTTTAATACTTTCAAAATACACACCAGCATTTTTTGTGAACAACTTTTTTAGTTTAATTAGTAAACAGAAAAGAAGATGTACGCTGACAACACAGATATAAATAAATACAAAAAAAATCAGTTCCTATTGGTAATCGCCACATTGATTCGCTGACTCCACCCACTTCGCGTCGCCAATTCCACTGATCATCGCTCATTTTCCCTCACAGTCCGATTTATTGATTTCTCCTCCCTTCCTTTCTTCAGTTATACTTTGTAAATATGTTTAGTAAATAATGTTAATCCAGCTCAGAGTCAGCAACAACACTCTCTATAAAATCATTTTATATCAGGCCTGGTCATTATTTTTGTTCTCTCAGTTGTTTGTAATATTTGTCTAAGTTTATTTTCTAAAATAAAAGTCTCTGTGCATTTAAAATCTGTTTGAGGAGATTAAAAACTAGTTAAAGCTTGTATGCTGGATGGTAATTTGGGTGGTCCTAAGGTGGACCAGCTGTGGCAAACAGTCAGCGGGATGCCGACCTTATCAAGCCAGTGGACCGATATATGCTCACTGTCTGGGAGATGGACAGATCTTTATTGTTATCGTTTAAAAACAATGAAAAACCATTTAGCAGCTCTGGAATTGACAGCAAGAACATAAACAGAAAATAATAAAAATTAGAATTGTGCACAATGAAATGATGTACAGTGCAAGATAAGATATCTCAGACTTAGTCTCCCAGTCTACTATAGATGGAATAATGGCAGCGGTGCTTTCACCACAAATACACAATCACAGAGACTAAATAGCGTTTTCCTCACAAACTGACTGCACAGACTCAGGTTACTGTCCTGCATACAAGCTTTAACTAGTTTTTAATCTCCCCAAACAGATTTTAAATGCACAGAGACTTTTATTTTAGAAAATAAACTAAGACAAATATTACAAACAAGTAAGAGAGAAAAAAAATAATGACCAGGCCTGATATAAAATGATTTTATAGAGAATGTCGTTGACACTGAGCTGGATTAACATTATTTACCAAACTAATTTACAAAGTGTAACTAAAGAAAGGAAGGAAGGAAAAATCAGTAAACTGGACTGTGAGTGGAAAATGAGTGATCAATGGAATTTTGTCAATTATTCTGCTTAACCACCGGTGGGCCGCCCCGAAAACGCTGAGCAAAACGCCAGTGGACCGCCAGCTTCGCCATCAGCGGGTGACAGTGGTCCACTATCCTCTAGAGAGGAGAGGGAGGGGAGGAGGGACTTGTGCATCTCACTGACTGAATATTATATTTCTTGCAGCTCACACCGGCGTTTTGAAGATACTCTGAGGTTTGATAAGTTGGAACAGACACGGTTCAACGACTGCGCAGCAGTGCTCCATTTAGAAAGGCATCAAAAACTTCATAAACTAGCGATGGCCGTTTCACTCTAAATTGATATTCACATTTTAAAGGCATTGTCTGAAAAAATTGAGAAGATTGCAGGGAAAAAGAAAAAAGAGCCCCATAAGACTTCTATACCTACCCATCGGATGCATCAGGCAGAGAACATGCAGCGTCCGAACTCAGCATCTCCCCCTTACTGTATTAAATCTCAGACCAAACGTCTACAGGGGGTGACATGTGGCTTGAATTCTACACTGAGAAATGCAGAGAATCTGAGGTCTTTAGAAAACAGACACACGTTAATCGTCTTATCACCTCATACCTTTTAGCTGGAACACAGTGAGTTTATGAGTGATCAGTTCACTAAATGGTGTAGTAAGTTTAGTTCTCCTAAATATACACTCTTAAAAATAATGGTTCTTCAGGGGTTCTTCAGTAAAGAAAATGGTTCTATATAGAACCATTAATGCTCAACGATTAAATGGTTCTTTGCATAAAGAAAGGGCTCTTCAGACTGATGGAGAATGTGCTATAGATGGTTCTATGTAGAACCTTTTTGAAAAGGGTTCTGTGTAGTACCCTAAAGGGTTCTTCTATTGTTCTGGTGTCAAGCTTGTAACAATAGAACTGTTTTGGGTGCTATATAGAACTCTTTTCAGAAAGGTTCTATATAGAACCATCTACAAGTAGGCGGGGCAGAAATCGCATCAAACCTTAACATGTGTATCGCTGCCTGCCTAAAAGATCGGCTGAAGTGCGTGTTGAAATACACTGAGTTGTGAAATCAAGCTACAAAACCATTTAAGTGTTTCTAAGATTTATATCAGTTCAAATAATGTAGCAAATATCATAAATGGATCATTTCACACCAAATCATCAAGGATGTGTCCGGTCATATTATGGATTTCCATGAATAAAGTCAAGCAGAGATCAAAAATAAACCTCTCTTTACTGAGAACACCAGTGTCTGTGTTTGGTAGCTGCTGATTTTAAGGCTCTAAAAGCCCTTTAGGCTGCCTAAGAGTGCCTTTTTAGAACTGTTTTCAAAAAGGCTCTATATAGAACCATCTACAGCACATTTTCCATCTGAAAAAAGAGGAGTGACTGCCTATGATCATAAAACGTCAATATTGTTTTTCACAGTCAATGCTGTTGACTAAAAATTCGCTGTTTAATGATTGCAGCCCTTGCGTTGTTCAAATAAGATCTCTCGTACCGAATACCAACAACGTGTGTGTGTGTGTGTGTGTGTGTGTGTGTGTGTGTGTGTGGCTGCAGGTATCGCGGTGTGTAATATCCCGTCGGCGGCGGTGGAGGAGACGGCCGACTCCACACTGTGTCACATCCTGAACCTGTACCGCCGGAACACGTGGCTGTACCAGGCTCTCCGGGAGGGCACGCGGGTCCAGAGCGTGGAGCAGATCAGAGAGGTGGCGTCAGGAGCCGCGAGAATCAGAGGGGAAACACTCGGACTCATCGGCTTCGGTCAGGAACGCCAACGCACACATTTTAATGCACAACTACTGTTTATTTGCTGCGTTTAATATATTGAGAGGAGAGAAACTGTCCAAATGCACATTTTATATTTTTTGTTTTGTTTATATTTTTTGTTTTGTTTATATTTTACTCAAGTAAACAAGAAGGTGTGGTTGGCTTAGTGTAGTGGGTAACACCTCTGCCTGCCATGCTATAGACTGGATTCGATGCCCTGACTGGGCAGACACCCTGCACTATACCAGTGTAACAGTAAGAGTCCTTCCAGACTCCAAACACCTGCCTGTGTAAAATGATCAGACTGTAAGTTGCTGTGGATAAGAGTGTCTGCCAAACGCAGTAAATGGAAGTCGTGTCCTTAAATTAGCAGAGAAATACTGTATGAAAAAATCAACAAAACATGTTATTGGACTGGGGTGTTCAAACTTCTGCACACATGCATGTGTATGTTAGTGGTGTCAGAGTTAACAGGTTGGTAATGCATTGCTAATTCCAAACTGATGTCCAGCTGCTTACACACTGTTACGTCTCCATGACCGCAGACGTTTCGTTCAAATACAGCTTTTGAACGACAAGGAGTTCCATTAATTTCACAGGTCTTTAGTTTCAAGTCCGAGTCAAGAGACAGTCGCTGACTTGAGTCCCCATCTCTGACACACACAGCTGTAAAACTTTACTGTGCCAACGAAGAGAGTCGGGAGACGTGAGATGTAATGATGACGTTCTTTATTGGAGAGCGCGATGGCCATCAGTCTTTATTCTGAAAGAGCTCGGTCCATCCTGACAGCAACCCACTCGCTCTGTCTGTTGGCAGTCTGCAGTCTCGGTCTGCAAACTTGGTCAGCAGTCCCAGTCTCAGTCTGTAGTCTGTCTTAGTCGCAATCTCAGTCTGCAGTCCCAGTCTGCAGTCTGTCCGTATTCTCAGTCTTAGACTGTAGTCTAAGTCTCAGTCTGCAGTCTGTATTCTCAGTCTGCAGTCTGTAGTCTCAGTCTGTGTTCTCAGTCTTAGACTGTAGTCTAAGTCTCAGTCTGCAGTCTCAGTCTGTATTCTCAGTCTGCAGTCTGTAGTCTCAGTCTGTGTTCTCAGTCTTAGACTGTAGTCTAAGTCTCAGTCTGCAGTCTGAGTCTCCGTCTGTAGTCACTTCTAGACCACACTTCATGCACTGAAAATGCTATCAATAATGTTTTGATTCCACATAATGCTTTCCAGTTTTAGCTGCTTTTGCAGTGGACATTATAGTTTTAATTTAGTGTTCATATTTTTGAAAAGTGCTTTTTTTGTTTGTTTATTTCACTACACTGATTTACTGTGATGAGCCCAAAAAACAAACGGCCCCCTGGAAAAATTAAATATAATTAAATATAAATATAATATAATTAAAGAACTTTCCCAAACTTCAAATACCCAAACAATGACGATGTCTACTGTTGTGCTAATTTAGAATTCCTAGCATTGCTTAACGGGCAGAACTTCCCAGAGGGAAATTGACCCGTCCAGTCTGAGTATTGCTGATTAAATGTTCACTATAGCGGTTGTTTTGATTAGCTGCAACACAGTGATAGCTCATCATTTTAAACTAAACTCTAACTAAAAGTAAATGGGATTTTGGCCATCGTTCTGTAAAGCTTGTCCAACCTAGCAACAGTTGCTACGACAATGTATTAAATAGAGTGAATGCAGCTGATAGAGTGCTGAGTCCTTTGTGGTGATGCTAATTGTATCTGATCAGTTTGCGTGCAGCTCCTGTGTATTGTTTGTTTACCGAGTTGTTTATTGGCGGCAGGGCGCTCTGGGCAGGCGGTGGCGGTCAGGGCGAAGGTGTTTGGCTTCAACGTGATCTTCTACGACCCGTACCTGCAGGACGGTCTGGAGCGCTCTCTGGGCGTGCAGAGAGTCTACACACTGCAGGACCTGCTCTACCAGAGCGACTGCGTGTCCCTGCACTGCAACCTCAACGAGCACAACCACCACCTGATCAACGACTTCACCATCAAACAGGTGCACTGCACTCACTGTCACGCACTGCATACACACCACTGCTGCACAGCGCTGGGAATATTCACCACCTGAAGCAGCTTGATTTTCTCCTCTCTCTCAGAGATGAAAGCTTTAAGTGCTGTTTATCTGATGGGGCAGTTTTGGGGTCGACCAGCTCTTCCAGGAGTTTTTTGAAGTTCAGTTTTGGAAACTCATTCATTTGACTTTGTGCTTCTTTGTGTGAGTGGATTATTCTATATCTCATCTAATCGGAGGTGAACTAAATGAAGGGAGCTCTGAGTTTCGCTCAGCGCCGTAGGTCTTAAACGCGTGTTTTAATGAGCTGTAATGTGATCTGTGTGTTGGTGAGGTTGTTCTTCTGCACGGTAGCTTAAGCTCAGTAAAGCTGGAAACAGATTCATTCCTTTGCTCTGTCAAATGCAATTAGCACCAGCCCACGACTCCAGCACAGATACACACTCACTGCTCTGTGTGTGCGCGAGTGTGTGCACGAGTGTGTGTGTGTGTGCGAGTGTGTGTGTGTGTCAGTCTGAGAGAGGGTGTAATTGTGTGTAAAAGCCCTCTCCCATCTTTTAACCTGCCCTGCCCCCTACAGGTCACAGAGAAAGGAAAGAGATAGAGAGATGTTATCTCCCTCTCTCTGACTCTCTCACTCTCCCTCTTATTTTTTCTTCTTTTCTCTCTCTCTCCTTTTATTCTCTTACTCTCCCTCTTACTATCTCTTTCTTCTCTATCTCCCTCTCTCTTACTCTCCCTAATATTCTCTCTCTCTCTCTTCTCTCTCCCGTCTTACTCTCTTATTCTCCATCTTATTCTCTCTCTCTCCGTTTATAGTTATGTATGGTTATCATTTTTTACTGTAATTTTATTATATCTTAATTCTGGATAGTGTTTCTATAAGAGCTTCATGCTGTTTATTCATTTTATTAGGATTTCCATTATGAAGTTATAGAACTTCCTAAAAACTTTCATCATTATGGAAACATCTAAAATTGTTTTTTTCCTCTTTTTAATTTCTTCTTACAAATTATTTGATTTTTTTCAGTTTAATATTAACATGTGAATATTTATCTGTAAGAAGAGTTTTAACATTATGAAGTTTATTTATTTATTTAAAGTGTGTGTGTGCGCTCTGTGTGTGTGTGTGTGTGTGTGCGTGTGCGTGTGTGCTGCAGATGCGTCAGGGAGCGTTCCTGGTGAACACGGCTCGAGGGGGGCTGGTGGATGAGAAGGCTTTGGCTCAGGCTCTGAAAGAGGGGAGGATACGTGGAGCTGCACTCGACGTTCACGAGACGGAACCGTTCAGGTGTGTATCACACAGATCAGTCCTGTTTAACACTGAATTACCAAGAGTTTGATCACATTATCGCCTCTGCCCCAACTCTTTTGGAAATTGTTGCTGGCATTAAATTCAAAATGGAAAAATGTTTTTTAAAAATCAATAAAATTTCTCAATTTAAATGATTGATATGTTGTCTCTGTGCTATTTTCAGTTAAATGTTGAGGGGTTTCGTGATTCATACATCACTGCATTCTGTCTTTATTGACATTTTGCACAGCGTCTGACTTTTTTGGAAACGGGGTTGTATATTTCTTAGGTGTGTTGACTCCAGTGTCACTGACATGAAGCTCTTATGAAGCATCAAAAACTATTAGACCTCTAATTGCGCCCCCCTGTGGAGAGTTTGTGCATCAGTCTAAAAACAGTCAGAATTTCCCTGAACAGCATTTTCTCTTCATGTTTGCGGTCAGGCTGATTAAATATGTAGGTTTTTATTTTCAATATACGAAAAAATATATATATATTTACTTCTTTAGAAAACTTCTTATGGTGAGGCACGTGTGTTGTAACAGTGCCCATTAGTACCTCATACATTTTACCATACGGGCTATGCATTTATTGTGCAATTTCACTTGTAATTATGACTTGGAACGGAAACAAATTTATTATAATTCTGCCAGCACATGAAGGCAGCAATATATACAATTCTAATTGTCGACCATCATTATGCTTTTAAACTGTGCACTGATAACAAGCTGAGTGGTCTTTAGCCAAAAAGAATTTCAAATGTTGATTCGTCGGACCACAGGACACTTTTCCACTTCACCTCAGTCCATTTTAAATGAGCTCAGGCCCAGAGAAGGCGGCGGCGTTTCTGGATCCTGTATATATCTGGTTTCTTCTTTTCATGATGGAGTTTTAACTTGCATTTGTGGATGCAGTGGTGAACTGTTTTCACAGACAGTGGTTTGCAGAAGTTTTTCTGAGCCCATGCAGTGATTTCCACTACAGAATCATGTCTGTCAACATCAAAAGAGCCACACATACGATTCTAATTGGCGACCATCATTAATTAACCTAGTTTTATACCATTTGTAAACGAATGATCTATAAAATCTCCATCTGTCTCTCTGCCTCTTCCTCTCTCTGTGTGTGTGTGTGTGTGCGTGTGTGTGTGTGTGTGTGTGTGTGTGTCTCTGTGTGTGTGTGTGTGTGTGTCTCTGTGTGTGCACGTGTGTGTGTGTGTGTGTCTCTGTGTGTGCACGTGTGTGTGTGTGTGTCTCTGTGTGTGTGTGTGTGCGTGCGTGTGCGTGTGCGTCTCTGTGTGTGTGTGCGTGTGCGCGTGTGTGTGTGTGTGTGCGTGTGTGTGTGTGTGTGTGTGCGTGCGCGTGCGCGTGCGTGTGCGTGCGTGTGCGTGTGTGTGTGTGTGTGTAGTTTTGCGCAGGGTCCACTGAAGGACGCCCCTAATTTGATCTGTACGCCGCACACAGCCTGGTACAGTGAGCAGGCCTCTCTGGAAATGAGAGAAGCAGCTGCCACAGAGATCCGCAGAGCCATCACCGGTACTCTCCTCCTCTTTCTCTCTCAGTGAGAGCTGGACGTTCTCAGTTTCTGTCAGTAATTATTCTCAGCCTCAGATGCTCCACCCACAGAGCTACACTGACCAAAAGTTTGCAGACACCTGCTCCTCCAGCATTTCTCCTGAAGTGATGGGTGGGTCAGACTACAGAAACGTCCACTTCTCTGTCTCTCCATAGGAGTCACTGGTGTTACTGATCCTCATTGGTGTTCCACATAATAAAGGAACACCAGAGACATTTTTAATGAACAATGCATTTTACTAAATAACTGCTACAGAGCATCAAACCACATGTTGTCAATCAGGGAATATCCACTAAAATATGGAATTTAATCCATTTGTATTCTGTTTTTCCACAATTACCTCAGAATAAAGTCGGTCACACCAGTGACTTCAGCTAAAAGCTTCATATGAAATCATGAGCTAAATGAGAATCTCTGATAACTGAAAGACACAGTGGACTCACCATGAGCTTTTCTTCATAGACCCTCAGAAAACAGGTAAAAGGAAGTCAAGTGATGTCATCAGTGTGATTTTTATTTCAAAATAAGAGTCATTTGTCATTTAAATCATATATTTCATAGTTATGTATAGATTAATTTAGTTAAAACTGCAGAAAAACATGTTTTTTCTTCAAAATATGGCCTCAGCCTTCACACACGACAGTGGGGATGAGCTCTTCTGTGGTGCTTGGAATTCTATATGATTGATTTACAAACCAATATTGCTAAATTCATGACTGAAGAAGGTGTAATTGTTAAATAACTTTATTTTAAAATATAAATAAACTCTAACCCTAACATGTTTTTAAGTGTAATATATCTGTAAACGCTAGGGGCACAAAAATGGACGTTTCTGTAGAATGACCGGGGTATTAACAGGGAGTTTGTCCCTCTTTGCTGCAGCAACAGCCTCTACTGTTCTGGGAAGGCTTTACACTAGATGTTGAACATTGCTGTGAGGATTTGATTGAGCATTAGTGAGGTCAGGTACTGATGTTGGATGGTCAGTTCTGGCTCACTCCAACTCATCCTAAAGGTACTGGATGGAGCTCCATCCCTCCAGAGAACACAGTTCCACTGCTACACAGCCCAGTGCTGGGGGGCTTTATACCCCTCTAGCACACGCTTGGCACTGGACATGATGCCTTATCATGGGCATGATGACCTCACTAATGCTCTTGTGGCTGAATGCAGGTAAATCCTCACAGCAATGTTCTAACACCTAGTATAAAGCCTAAACAGGAGAGTAGAGGCTGTTACTGCAGGAAAGAGAATGAGTTTTGAATTTTTCATTCGTTTTTATGTGTGTTTACTTTTTTATTGTTGTTTTCTGTTTGTTTAATTTCAGTTTTAATGGTGCATTAAAATGTGGTTTTATTTTCATTTAATCTTCCAATAAGGACTAGTTTCTGTTTAGTTTCAGTTTTGGTTGTTCATATTATGGTGAATATTTTGTCGGGGCATTAATTCCAAATCATTCTGTCATTTCCCTCTGGCATAACATTCTGACCACCTCCTTGTTTCTGCGCTCATTGTCCATTTTATCAGCTCCACTTACTGTTTGGGTGGTGGATCATTCTCAGCACTGCAGTAACACTGACGTGGTGGTGGTGGTGTGTTAGTGTGTGTTGTGCTGGTACGAGTGGATCAGACACAGCAGTGCTGCTGGAGTTTTTAAACACTGTGTCCACTCACTGTCCACTCTATTAGACACTCCTACCTTGTCAGTCCACCTTGTAGATGTAAAGTCAGAGACGATAGCTCATCTGCTGCTGCACAGTTTGTGTTGGTCATCCTCTAGTCCTTCATCAGTGGTCACAGGACGCTGCCCACAGGACGCTGTTGGCTGGATATTTTTGGTTGGTGGACTATTCTCAGTCCAGCAGTGACACTGAGGTGTTTAAAAACTCCCGCAGCACTGCTGTGTCTGATCCACTCAGACCAGCGCAACACACACTAACACCCCACCACCACGTCAGTGTTACTGCAGTGCTGAGAATGACCCACCACCCAAATAGTACCTGCTCTGTGAGGGTCCATAGGGGTCCTGACCACTGAAGAACAGGGTAAAAGGGGGCTAACAAAGTATCAGAGAAACAGATGGACTACAGTCTGTAACTGTAGAACTACAAAGTGCACCTATATAGTAAGTGGAGCTGATAAAATGGACAATGAGCGCAGAAACAAGGAGGTGCTCAGAATGTTATGGCTGATCGGTGTACATTGATAAGACTGGACACTCCTGGTCTAAGACAATAATAACAAATACAAGGGAGTGTAATCAGTTACAGAATCTCTCTCTCTTTCTCAGGTCGGATCCCGGACAGTCTAAGAAACTGTGTGAATAAGGAGTTTTTTGTTACAACAGCGACTTGGGGAGTGATGGACCAGCCAGGTGTTCACCCTGAGCTTAACGGTGCCGCCTACAGGTAAACCACTGAACTACATCTGCTCTCACACGAACACACGCGGCTGTGCGTATCTTTGGCTGCATCGCGTCCTTCGTTCTTATTCTTTGCTTTTGCATAACATTTTCATCTAAGCATGACCGTTTACAGCTCTGTGTTAATCGTAACTCTGTTTAAAACCTTTTTGTTCAGTATCATATCATCACCCCGTTGCCAGGTTTGCCCCCGTCTTTTTCCTTCTACAGTAAGAATTTCAGTAACTGCTAAACAGTGTCCAGTTCATAATCTGCACACGACAGAAAGTCCTCTTTAAAATGAGGATGGCTTCTACACAGATAGAGCCCAGACCTGGGTTAATTTACTCTGTAGGTGACCTTTCTTAGTGAAATCTGACCGGGTCCTGCAGTAAAATGAACAGAGAATTTTATCCAGAGCCCTTTATTTAAGGTGTGATTGCTAAGCCTTTATTGGTACCAGCTGGACTTCGCAAATGTCCATTTTGGTGTCCGTAGGTTTCTTCTTTACTTCTGCACTGGTGTTTAGCAGCAGCGGTCACTACAAATGATGCGCGTTTGAGAGTGTATGACTTTTGTGTAAATTAGAGGCCAACGTGCATCAAATTCAAGCTTCAAGGCTAGACCTGTTTTGGCTTTGTGATGTATTTTTGTCCTTTCTTATGGATAAACCAATGAATAAAACATTGTTTATGTGGTTATTTATTGTCATTTATCAGGCTGTTTAATATTAAATTAGTCCTGTCTGTTTCTCTGCCGCTTCTCTGTCCCAGCACAGCGATTATCGCTTATTAAGTTACTTGTCATCGCTGATATCCGTTACGTCACCCTATTGCCCAGACCTAGATAACAGCTTTCATAGAGTGTCAGAAACCGCATTAGCAAGGATACCCATGTGCCCTGGAATACCTGGATTATACCAGTTTTCCAGTGATAAAAATGAAGAAAAAAAAACTGATAGAAATGAACTAGAAATATTAGCGAGGTCCTGGACTGTTGCGCCACTGACCTAATATTTTAGCCTATTTTTCCTCAGATCTCAAAGTAGTCCTGCCCCATTTGAGCACTCTTAGTTGTTGTAGGTTGGAATGCTGCAGTGTGGAGTGTGGACAGATGACTGTGATATCAGAGCGACTGGTAGAGTGAAGATGTATGAAGGCACAAAAGCAGCGCGTAACGTTTACTAATGTTTCAGTGAAACTTGTGAAGATGGGTTGAAAGATGGTTTGTGTCCTTGTTTTAACCAGTAGACGGTTGTAAGGTGTTACATTGTTGACTTTAATGTTAAGTATGTTGGCAGATGTGACTCTTTCTAAGTTTCTAAGCAGACCAACAGCTGCAGCGTATAGAAATCATAGAAGAGTCCTGAAGAATTACTTCCTAAAGAAATGTTGGAGTCCATAACTCTGTGCAGTTTGAGGCGTGTGGGATGATTTACGCACTAT